ATAGTAGTTAATAAATAATAATAAAATAAAAAATTTAGTTAAGGAATTCTTGATTATTATAGATAATAAAATTATTCTTTAGAAAAAGAATATTAATTAATACAGTTAAATATAACTAGATTATAATTTTAATAATAGATTTTATTAATTTATAAAATATTATTTTAATAATTATTTATTTTAAATCTATTAAAAAGATTTTCTTTTTATAATCTTTTTTTTAATAATAACTTATTAAGTTTATTTCCAATCCATTAATTAATAAATAGACGAGGCTATAGAAACAGTAAATATAGAAAATTTTTAAATTATTATTTAAAAATTCAATACCCTAGGAAAAGTTATTCTAGACAATTAATATTCACTTTTTAATATTCTATTTTAATTAAATTTTACTTATCTCCCTTCGTCTATATATAAAAAAAAACCAATTCTATTAAATCTTAAAAACTATTAATTTCTCCAATTTAATAAAATACTAAATAACCAGTTTCTAGTATTATATCTATATAAAATTAAATTAAAAAGGAAATATAGAAATAAATAAAAGTAATATATTTTCTATTATATTTTAAATATTAGCTATAAAAATTTAAAAAGTAAATAAAGATAATATAATACTATTTTTTAATAGTAAAATAGACAAAATAATATATCTAGATATAGTTAATCTAAAGATTAATAAATAAAAAATATATAAAATATATTCAAAGATTAGAAAATTAGAAAAAAGAATTGATTTTACAGTCGCGTTTTATTAAAATATATTATTATACTAAGTTATAATAGATTATATTATTATATATTAATTACTATATTTAAAATAATTTCTAATTTTATAGTATTTATATAATAGTCTATCTTCGAATTATCTATTAAAATATTTTAAGTATTGCAATTACTTATAATAAAAGTAAAAGATTATTAAAATATATAATATATAATATATTTTTTAAATAAATATAGTAAAGATATATTAATATTTTATCTCTATACTAAATAAAAGTCAAGAATATCTATTAATTATAAAAATATAAAATTCTATAGTTACTATATAATAGAATAGTAATTATATTTATATATATTTTAACTATATATTCCCTATATATAGCTGCTTAAAACTAAAATTAATTAAAATACTATCTTAACTATACAAAATAATAGTTTTAATAGGATCTTTAATAAAAAATATATCTTCTTTTTATATAAAATTAATAAATAGGACCTTTTAATACTATTAATAATATATTTTTATAGTTAATTAAAATAGTAAAATTAATACTAGATTAATTACAATTAACCTAGCTTACCATCTACTATACTTAATAAAGATTAATAGTCTTAATACCAAGCACGGTTAACCTAGATTAACTATCCAATTTTTAGCTTAACTGTAGTTAAATATAGAAATTCTATTAACCTAGCTATAACCTAGCGGTTAAATATAACTGACCCCATTAACCTAACCTAACCTGGCCAAATGCCAGTCTAAGTGTAATATTAAATTAAAGTTTTCAATCTAAAATCTAACCTAGCCTAGATTAGGTCTGGGTTGGGTCCAGGTTATATTGGATCATGCGGAAGTCTACTGAGAATTAAAATATACAATAGATCTAACCTGCGAGTAGACAACCAGTACTCTCAGCCCTTAGATATGAGGGTCGAGGGTCAGGTAGCGAGGGTCACCCGCGCGTCATAGCGAGGCCTAATCATGCCTATGGCTCAATGGCTCTGACTATGCAAGGTCTTAGACCTGAAGTGCATGGTTTTTATTATCCATGAGCCTTTCCACACCTCGTCTCCGAAATCAACCATCAGCTCTACCAAGCTGTGACAAAAGGAGTGAGCCTATACCATTATCCTCTAGTATTCCTTCTAGTATATTTAATCTAAGTTCAATAAATAGTAGCTCTACTATTATAATTAGATTATATATTACTTCAATACAATATAGTATTTTAATACTATTATACATCACCAGCTTTATTATAGAATCTATAAAAAGATATCTATTTTCTAAAATATTAGACTAGACTTTTATAATAGTACCAGTATTTAACTTAATTCTATTTAGATTTAGTATACTATATAAAGAACTCAACTAATTCCCTAATTTTATAATTAGATTTTGAAGTATAGTATTACTAATATTAATATATTAATTATAATAAATAATAATTTTCTATAAATAAAATAATATTAAAATTTATTTAAATCTATTAATAATTACTATTAATCTTTTATACTTATTATAATAGTATAATTTATTTAATTAAAAAATCTATAGAAAAGAATTTAAAAAAAAGATAAGAGATATAAAAGAGAAAAACATTTTAATTTATTAATTAATTTATAGTATTAATTCTTAATAGAAGTCTAGCTATATATACTATTAGATAATAAAAGATAATAAATAGAAATAAAAGCAGATATATTACTATATACTTTTAATAACAGGAGTATAAAAAAATATAAAATTTAACTAATCCGCGGACGCGAATGCGGGATATATCCTACATCCCCAACAGATTAGGGTATAGAAGGCACAACCCTAAATAAATAGCGTGATATTCAGTAAAAAAGAGACTGATATACATAGAGGTGCATTCAATACAAATAATATACATCAATAGCTGGTAAACACGAGTAGCAAACCCAACAACAACCACCAGCCACGCGTGTAGCTACCACTAACATCATTTTTTTAAATCTATGCAGTACCTTCGTTCACTTTTTTTATCTGAGAAAGGATGGTGGAGACACTAGCTGGCTCAGCTTCATAGCTCTCCCACGTTTCTATGACAGGCCCATTGTAATGGTCCTTGGCATATAGCCACCAATTTGCCAGAGCAAGTAAGAGACAAAATCCCAGAATCACGCATGTGTAATCTAGATTGGAGAGGTATAATTAGTCTGGCCTGCACGGCATTACCGAACGTTTACAACGGGGAATTTATGACACTTACTCATCGTAAGTGCAGATATTGGGTTAATGACTGGCAGGCACAGTATAACAGCCATGAGGGTGATGAATACAACCGCATATATATTAACAACCCAACCCAAGATATTAGGCATACGGAAGCTGCGAGCAGGGGACAAGTAGGCTGTTGATCGCTTTCGAGCAATTATTAGGAGAATAGGTATACCGAACGATAGCTGCTGAAGAATAACGGACGAGCCTATAATTGCATTGAAGGCTTATGGACGAAGAGTATTTAGTACAGCCTTCACTATGGCATTTGATTTCAGTGGTTCCTTACCCATTTGAGAAGCGAGATATAAGAAGCCGCATATGAATGTTAGCACCCAGATTAGGAGTAAGCTCCGAGTGGGAACTTCCAAGTGCGGATGAACATGCTCAATATACTGTGAGAATAATAGCCCCTTATCACGTGCCAGAGCCCAGGCCAGGCGGGAGGAAGCCTCCTGAGTAGCAATTATGATAGTCATCGCCATGACAATGCTGATGGAAACTATAACTATAGCGATTGTGCGAGATCGGAACCCTTGCTCCATAACAACAAACGGAACCCACCTAAGAGGCGTTAGTGTAGCAGTTAAACGGAATGGACATTGGCAAATGGAGCTTACTGCATAGTGGTCATGACTTCTTCAATGTCAGATATAGCATAAACTTGGGCTACTGCATAGGCAAACCCAGTGGTAAAGCCAATTCCAACTGCACCCAGCATAGTGCGAGGTACGACTCTTTCTGGGTTGCTGGACTCCTCGGCCATGTGCATGGCACCATCGAGGCCATTGAACATGTAGCAAGATGTTGTGAGACCGATGAGGAAGCACACACCGTCTGGCCACCCAGTATAATTCAAGAACGTGTTCCAGACGAAGTCGTGCGATTGTTTCGGGTTCCCTCTTACAAGTAAGAGAATGAAACACACAAAAAATAAGGAGATTGCAAGGATAACTATATGGATAGTCAGGTCAATAAACTCTGTTGAAGGAGATTTTACCAATACAAACAGGCAACATTGTGTGTCCAAGGATTCTTCTTCAGAAAAAAGGTGTTGTATATTATTGCAAAGAGCGCAAGTCCTTGGTAGACAAAGAAAATGTGCCAGGGCTGAGGCACAAAATCCGAGAGGCTCGTAGCTACCAAAGCCATAAGTTGCTGGGCGGCAATGCTGGTGACAGAAACTCCAATAACAAGCCAAGAGAAAAGCGCCAATAGCCCACACGTATATGATACTCCTTGTCTCCATCGCTCTGGGGCGAGGATAGAGGCGATGTGATATTGCCCACCTGCGGTTGGGTAAACGGCTGCCAACTCTGCCATTGATGCTGCTATTGCCAAGTAGGCTGTAGCGGCGACGATGATTGAGTAGACCAGGGTGGCTGGTCCTCCAGCCAGGATTGCTAGCTGAAGGCTTCCGGCAATACCAGCCCAGCTATTACATATAACAAAAGCCAGGCAAAGCAAAGTGATACCGTTCAGATGTTTCTTCACCTGGCTAGGAGGAGAGTGGTTCATTTTTAGTTGCGAGGCTGAATGAGTATTCCCTTTACGGACTTCAAAAGGTTTCTGCATCGGTAGATACTGCAACTTTCGTGGAGTGGCAATGGCGCGTGGTGGTAATTTTATATCGGCGTACGTTTGGCATTGGTTAAAACTTGGTCTTAACGATGACTTATAGTTCTTGAGGTTCGCGAGAAGCAATGAAGCACAGGCAGAAAGATCAAGTTCAACATCAACCTCGGTACATTTTTGCTATCAGCTCTCGACCCACGAATCAATTACGGAAGCTTCTCCAATCATCATCAGGGCTAGGGGAAATCTCTCGAGAAGATAGGATTGCATGAACACAAATCATGCGGAATGCGGCTGAGCAAAGTGGCCGTAGGTCAGCAAGACATTTCAGTACTAACTTTTGATCGACTAGCCAGGCCACACTAAACATGAAAGCCAATGAAACGCATTGTACGTTGATTTGAGAGACCATGTCCGAATCGAGCAGATTCCTCTTATCTATTGGGCTGAGAAGAAGGCAAGACGAAACCCGCGCTTCCTTTGATAGGGAAGATAGAGTCTAACTGGGATGAAAGTAAAAAAATAAGATCGCTGATTTTGTCAAACCCCAGCAGGGACGAACTAAAAAAAGCAAACGTATAAAGCAGATTAAGCTCTCAGGTGTTCCAACTTTCTTATCATTCCGCTTTACGGGGCTTCGGACTTCGGGACTCGGATTTAGTTCAGCAACGACGGCTCATTGTCTGTCATTAATGCTCCCTGTGTCGTCCCCATAGTGAGGCATCACATTGAGTTTAGAATGCCGGTTCAATCCGAAATTGAAAACCTATCTTCGCTTTGATATCAGTTGACTAGGGTAGCATATTAAATTTACGGTTCGTGACATACGAAAGGAAGCTGGTAAGAGCGAGGGCGAGAGCCATGTTCGGTTTCGATTCCTTGAGACAGTCACAGGGAACTTGCGTGGATGGAATTTTCCCCGTTGGCTATGCACAAAACCCTTTTGACAATTATACTACTTGACATTTTCTGCATGAATGCACTACATATCATGAAACTCGATCTTCGCACTTTTCGGAACCTGCGCAGCATCTGAAACCCTCAGTACCGTACTTGTGTCCATATAAACTATCCACAGTAGAACGAATCTTCACCGATTCGGTCAATTGTCTGCAGTTAGATGTGTCCCTGGCCAAGGACATTTGCATTAATTCCGTGGTGGGTACGTCAGAGGAGCGTGATGACACACTACACAGATTAGGGACTTCTAGTAACTAAAATATGCTCTCGTCGGTGACTGGCCGCTCCATACACTTATCCAGTCTGTGGATATGCTCTTGCTCCATATTCGGGCCTCGGTTCTCACGATCTTCCCTTCTCGGTTGTCGGAGAGAAAAGAGGGAAGGAGGGAAAGTGCCAGCTTATCGTACTCGGAACAACCATCTGGCCGATTACCCTTGGAGCGCCGACAGCCCGCGCCAACTAAATTCAGCACTTTGGCAATGTCATGATTTACCCAAAGCATAAAAATGGGTATTAGAATTGAGTACGATAATACTAAGCTCTGTATTCAGTATATATTATTCTTGACACGTCACACACCAGCTCAGGCAGAGTAAGCGTGGGACAGCAGGCTGACCAATCCAACTCTCTAGTTATCGAGAACAATAAGCAAGCTTGTCAGCTTCACCTAAAATGAAATTGCATGGTAGGAACCAAGGGGGTCAGCTCTAGTAAGGGAAACCATTGAATGAGATGGATTCGTCTGGAACGATTTATCAAGGGAAATCATACGACAGCATGTGACATAGCTATCTGTACCTTTTGATTACCGCAAGTCTGGGGAGAGGCAATGCTGCAATACATAGAATTAGTCACGTCCCACTGAATTCCAAGACTCAGATACAATTATGATAAGCAACAAGGCGATCCTGCAAGTGTTGCTCCACTTTCATCGTCATTGATATCTGGCATATGACAAGGTCTGTGTTGACATCACAAGACGATTCTACCAACGGTACTAAGATTGATAAAGCTAATTCTCAATGAGATTAGTGGGTTCAACTTTCAGGAGTGAGATCCAGCAACTGAAGTATAAATAGTGCCACATCGACAGTGTTATTGACCCGTTTCAAGCTCATTCCCCCATCCACTCTGAGTGATGGCATGCCTATTACTTCGAAGCATGAAACCCGAGGGTTTTTTACCAGTTTTGATAATGATAGTTGTTTGGTGGAGCGTTGGGTCTTTGAGTCATCCGACCGACGGAACGGGGAGTGATGAGAAGCGAGCCACCAAGCATGGAAGCACGTTCCTTGTCGGTGTAGGAAAGGCCGATATCACTGGGTGAGGAATTTACGCTACCTTACGCTCGGTCATTACTAATGAGCTGCGACAATCAGTGCTGTGGTTCAGATCCCTTTTGCAGGTTACGGGCAGATGAACCAGACAGGAACTGGTCTCCGCCAGAGAACTTACGCTCGGTCATTTGTCTTTGCTGATCCTGCCAATATCACCAACTCTTTCATTTACGTTGTACTCGATACTCAATCGGGTGATACTGCAGTTCGATATGGCATTCTTCAAGGCCTTCAAACCCTTGGAGGGAAATATGGGAATTTTAGAGAACACAGTGTCGCAGTGGGTGGCACACACCAACACTCAGGGCCCGGGGGATGGATGAACTATTTGCTTCCTCAGATAGCGACACTTGGTTTTGATAAACAGACTTACACCGCAATTGTTGATGGGGCTCTTCTTTCAATTCAAAGAGCATATGACAGTCTTGCCCCCAGCACGATCAGCGTCGGTACTATCGATCTTGAGGATGCAAACATCAACCGCAGCCCATATTCTTACCTGGCGAACCCGGCGGCTGAACGCGCTCAGTACAGTTCTGATACGGATACAACAATGACACTCCTAACGTTCGATCGCCTCTCGGATGGTAAAACCACTGGTGTATTGTCCTTTTTCTCTGTGCATGGCACCTCTCTCTACAACAACAATACACTTGTTACAGGAGACAACAAAGGCGTTGCAGCCTATCTCTTTGAGAGAGGTGCTACCAACGATGCTCGATTCGCCGACAATTTTGTCGCTGGGTTTTCACAATCAAGCGTTGGAGACATGAGTCCCAATGTGCTGGGTCCGTTTTGTGAAGATACGGGATTGCCGTGTGACTTCAAAACCAGCACGTGCAATGGCCGGACCGAGCTTTGTCAAGCGCGTGGCCCTTACTTCAACGAAGGTGATAACGGGGCCAAAAGTGCATTTGAGATAGGCCGTCGCCAGTACAACGCTGCCTTTCAGCTATATGGGCAAATATCCTCCGGCTCAGGAGTACTACTCGCCGGAGAATCAGCCGTGGCGTCTTACCATACGTACCAGAACATGTCGGGCTACGAATTCATTTCTCCGTTCAACGGTCGTCTTCTATCGACTTGCTACGCGGCCCTGGGCAGTTCATTTGGAGGAGGAACCAGTGATGGACCGGGGGCCTTTGATTTTACTCAGAGTAATGCGTCTCCCAATCCCTTTTGGCGGCTAGTGCGGGGTGGTCTTCACCAACCTGGGCCTGAACAAATCAAGTGTCAATCTCCAAAGCAGATCTTGTTTGATCTTGGAGCAATGAACAATCCATATGCATGGGCTCCTGATATCGTCGATGTTCAAGCCCTTCGCCTGGGCCAGCTTCTCGTCATAGTTTCTCCAAGTGAGATCACTACTATGTCTGGACGTCGATGGAAAGCCACCATTGCGGGCGCGGCCCAAAGTGTTCTATCCATCTCCGATCCTATCGTTGTTCTGGCATCTCCAGCAGACTCATACGCACACTATGTTACCACAGAGGAGGAATATACCGTGCAGCGTTATGAAGGCGCATCAACTCTTTACGGACCCAACCAGCTAGCGGCATATGTGAACCTTAGTCTGGCATACCTGTCGTATCTGGGAGTCCCAAATGCGGTGGCACAATTGCCCAAACTTCCCGAAGGCCCCAGACCTCCAGTTACCACGAATTACTCTCTCGCATTCGTCCCTGGTGTCGCCTTCGACAGCCCCCCTTTGGGTCATTCGTTTGGGGATGTCTTATCTTCTTCGACACCATACTTCTACATGGTAGGAGATTACGTTTCAGCCACCTTTGTTGGGGCTAATCCACGTAATGACCTGCGCTTAGAAAAAACCTATGCAGCAGTGGAGATGAATATTGACGGTATTTGGGAAGTAGTGCGTACTGACAAGGACTGGAACCTGGTCTTTGAATGGAAGCAAACAAACGTACTGTTGGGTACGAGTCAAGTGACCTTAACCTGGCATATCGAGGACTCATATTACCTGTCAGGCTGGGGCAACGCTCTAAAGCGTGGGATTTATCGTCTGCATTATTATGGAGAGTCTAAAAATATGTTTGGAACGATCTCTTCTTTTGAAGGAGTGGGGCCCGAGTTTAGCCTTCAAATCTAACCACGTCTATCGTAGGATCAGATACTATGGTACGGCTCTCCTCTTTCGCTGCTTAGTCGGCTGCCTCGTTACCTGTGTTACGCCCGGGGCTTTGTTGTCAAGTCTGAGACCAGTTAGTAGACTATGTTCTGAGGGTTATTAATCTAAAGTTATTCTCCAACTTCCATTATTATTAGGTTGCGATCTTAATAGAATAGAAATCGATGTAAATGTCAAGATTATCTACTAGTCAGGGTAGAAGACCTGTCGACTAGATAAGGATACGTAGGCGAAACAATAGTAAATAATCTATTAACAGAGACTGATTCTTGATTTCTAGTCCACAAGGGGGTGAGCATTCATAGAAGGATGGAATGAAGTGGAGCCGATGGCGGCTGTGGATTGGTGAAGTAGGTTAGGGTTTTTTCTAAACTGAATATTATAAATTGAAATATTTTAAATACAATACTAACTAAATTACAAGGTTAATAATATTTAAATTAATATAGATTAAAGAGTACTATGGAAATTTATATTTAAATTAATAAAGGGAA